TCTGACACCACTGTAGTTCACTCCAGTTGAAATTAACTCCTATAACACAAGGCAATCAAATTTAATTCACCAAGAGAGTCAGATAACTTATCCCAACAGCCTAATTCATACAGTCAACACTTCTTATTCTCTTCCAGCTAAAGCACTCTTTAATTAACATCCATTTATATATAATGCAGAACATGTTGCCGGTATGCTCAACAATATGCCGGTACAATATTCTTATACCCGTATTCTGGCCGGCATCTTCGATTTTATGCAGTAGATCAACTAGTTTAAATTGTGTAAAGCACATCGCCAACAGTTAACGTTTTTGTTAACAGAGAAATAATCTCGAGTTTTTTATCTAGTTTTATCAAGCCATAGAACATGGGTTGCATTTTACTAGTTATGTAACACATTCTCCAACCATCAGAACAGTCAAAGACAGAGAGATAGACAGACATATTTTTGACATCATATATTAATGACATCAAACACATGTTATTCATGCCCTTTACTTAAGTGCAGAGGCACAAATTCTTTGAACCAAATAATATTTCTTTGGTATAGGAGTAAACTTAATTTTCCTAGAACAAAAACTTACTAACACGCATCATTTACTAAGACACGATTTTTACTAAAACAACTTTTCTATGTCAAAGATTTCTGTAATATGAAAATTTACTGAGACATAACTTTTCAATGTCATAACTAAACTAGCATTGCTCTATTTGTAACAAAATACTTACTGAGAAATCTTTCTGTGACATAACTAAACTTATACTTCTCTTTTTGTTACAACACAACGAAACTTACAAACTTTTCTGATATAATTCTACTATTAATAATGTTTTATGTAACACCAAAACGGAACTGAGACTCTTTGTCGTTTGCTCGAAAGTCTTTGAACCTGTTTTCATATATTTCGTCTCTTTAACCATCATCTTAGTTTTACTAATAATTATATACGTTTATAACAAATAACAGGTTACATTTTGGTAATATTTAATAGCATTTTTAACGTTGGATAATACATATTAATAGAAGCTGTGCTGTTTAGGATTTTGAAATGCACAGCTTAATACTTTCATCTATTTTATAGTGCTGAATTGGTTGAAAATACTGCAACAGAATGCACAGTAGCTCAATTATCTCCGAACTCCTTTCCTCATTACTAGCACTAAATAGCTTGCACTGAAATTCTAATGTGCTTGTTTTTGAAATTCAGAAATTCATATATATATATATATATATATATATATATATATATATATATATATATATATATATATATATATATATATATATATATATATATATATATATATATATATATTATTAAATATGACCGAAAAAGTAAGATTAATAATTCTAACACGAATTTTCTCAATCTTTCGTACATTTCATTTCACTGTTGGAGGTAATTCAAAAATCAATTCTCCAAAATTCATTTTTATTTCTAGTCTGACGCGACACTTGAGCGCGTTTCGTAAAACTTACTACATTTTCAAAGACTTTAGTTAACACATACACAGCTGAATAGAACTTACACGTCTCCGATTTTGTTTATATCTACATTTGAGCGAGGTGGATGGGGTGAGGTGGTATTTAATAAGGTATTATATATATATATATATATATATATATATATATATATATATATATATATATATATATATATATATATGTCGTACCTAGTAGCCAGAACGCACTTCTCAGCCTACTATACAAGGCCCGATTTGCCTAATAAGCTAAGTTTTCCTAAATTAATATATTTTCTCAATTTTTTTTCTTATGAAATGATAAAGCTACCCATTTCATTATGTATGAGGTCAATTTTTTTTTATTGGAGTTAAAATTAACATAGATATATGAACGAACCTAACCAACCCTACCTAACCTAACCTAACCTATCTTTATAGGTTAGGTTCGGTTAGGTAGCCCAAAAAGTTAGGTTAGGTTAGGTTAGGTAGGTTAGGTAGTCGAAAAACAATTAATTCATGAAAACTTGGCTTATTAGGCAAATCGGGCCTTGCATAGTAGGCTGACAAGTGCGTTCTGGCTACTAGGTACGACATATATATATATATATATATATATATATATATATATATATATATATATATATATATATATATATATATATATATATATGTCGTACCTAGTAGCCAGAACGCACTTCTCGGCCTACTATGCAAGGCCCGATTTGCCTAATAGGCCGAGTGATTTTCTTTATTTTCAATAAATTGTTCCCAATTAGTTTATTTGAATTAATATTATATATATATATATATATATATATATATATATATTGTTGGGGTTTCTATATTATATTAGGAACATAAATTATTGATGTAGTTCTGTTAATTTAGGTTAGGGAAAGATAGATTAGGTTAGGTTAGGTAGGGTTGGTTAGGTTCGGTCATATATCTACGCTTGTTTTAACTTAAATTTAACAAAATTAAATCATAAATAATGAAATGGATAGCTCTATCATTTCATAAGAAAAGAACTTGAAAAATTTTTAAATTCAGAAAAACTTGGCTTTATATTATATATATATATATATATATATATATATATATATATATATATATATATATATATATATATATATATATATATATATATATATGGAAGGGAGTACCACCTCTAGCTGGAAGAAGGGGGACCCATAGCCTCGGAGGAAACCACGCATAACGCATTAGAGGGAATGTTTAGATCCCCTCCAATACAGTTTCTGTGTGCTTTTCTCCTACCACCCCCTTCCTTTTTATATATATATATATATATATATATATATATATATATATATATATATATATATATATATATATATATATATATATATATATATATATATATATATATATATTTACTAGCAGTACCCAGTAAATATATATATATATATATATATATATATATATATATATATATATATATATATATATATATATATATATATATATATATATATATATATATATATATATATATATATATATATATATATATATATATATATATTTACTAGCAGTACCCAGCTACAGCAACCTTCCCTGTCCCCTAGTCCTCCCAACCATTTCCCACTCCACTGTCCCCTCGTCCTCCCCACTCCACCATCCCCTCCTCCTTCCCACCATGCCCTACTCCCTTGTCCCTTTGTCCTCCCCACCATTTCCCATTCCCCCATCCCCTCATCCCAACCATCCCACACTCCCTCATTCCCTCGTCCTTCCCCACCATTACCCTCTCACTTGTCCCCTCGTCCTCCCCAATATCTCTCACTTCCGTCCCCATGTCATCCCTACCATTCCCCACTCCCTCGTCCGATGCCTTCCCAATGGTCTCATGTTCCCATCAGAAAATTGGGAACATCAATTGATCTGATGTTCCCATCACTGAAATATAAGGAAAACAGGAAAAAAAATGAAATGAAAATATGAAAAAAATATAAAAATATACTATACTTACGAAATGAATGGGCTGGTAAACAACACAGCTCAGTTCCAAAGCAATTCACACAAAATAATTAAACCAAAATTAAAATAAATCAAAATCTATGAAAATTCAATTTATCAGTGCAATCAAAAACATTGAAATGTAATTGTAACATATCTAGTATAGCATGTCTGTTGCTCTTACATGCAACAGATGGCGCTGTTTTTCAAGAAAAGCATAGTTTTACCTGTCACAGGTGTGGCATCTGTACTTATACTTACGAAATGAACGTTATGGTAAACAACACAGCTCAATTCCAACACAATGTCACACACAAAAAAATATTAATTAAAAGTAAATCGAAATCTATGAAAATAAAATTTATCAATGCAATCGGAAATATTGAAATGGAACTCGTGACATATTTAGTATAGCGTGCATGTTACCATTATGTGAAACAGATGGCGCTGTTTTTCAAAAATGCATGTTTTACCTATCACAGGGGTGGCATCTATATAGTAGGTGCATAAAAAGAGGCGCCTATTCGAATGCAACGTTGTGTCAAAAATACAAATCAATCGGTAAAGAACTTTCGGAGATTACAGTGTGTGTGTGTGTTGCACTTACGTCCAACAGATGGCGCTGTCTAAAAAAAGCATGTTTTTTCCTGTCACAGGTGAGGCATGTATATAGTAGACATATAAAAAGACGCGCCTATTCGAATGCAACGTTGTGTCAAAATTTCAAAGCAATCTGTAAAGAGGTTTCGAAGATTTCCATCACATGAAAAACACAGTTTTTTCAGAAAAAGCCTGTTTTTTTACTGTCACAGACGTGACATTTATATAGTATGGATATAAAAACCTGCTCGGAGGCGAATGGAACGTTGTGTGAAAATTTCAAAGCAATTGGTGAAGAACTTTCGGAGATTAGTGATTTTGAACAAACGAACATTTCCATGTTTATTTTTATAGATATATATATATATATATATATATATATATATATATATATATATATATATATATATATATATATATATATATATATATATGTATGCATACTTAATAATGTCATAGGTGTTAAATTGTTGTGGATCCCCTCACACATTTGGCTGGAACTGCTCATGTAATTCAAGCCAAATTCAAATAATTGCTAACAGAATGTAATATGTCTATACTATAATAGGCCTAGCCATGAACAAATAATAATACAATACTATAAATTTTTATTCTAGAAAATATCAATTTTAGTTTATATTTAAGTACGTTAAAGTATACGAATACATCTTCGGGGCTAGGGCCACTATTTGGAGGAGAAGGGGTCGGATACTAGAAAACTTTCCTGCTGAATGTTCAGCAGTCAGCAGACTGCTCAACCTGTCAGAAGCATCACGGGAACATACTTGCTCAGCCTTTAAGAAATATAACACGGAGAATCGTGCATATGAGAGGTTGTTCTAGTCATTTAATAACTTGCTTGATATATTTATTTTTGTTATTATGAGAATGGTTTCAATTGCCTATTTCTATGACTAAATATTAAATTTGAACTGATTTTCCCCAACTCTTTCCCAGATGTCAACGGCAGACGTGGTATTGATACACTTACGGAGTGTGGCAACTAGAGAGAAAGTGCTGATGGACCTAGGTCCCCGTGACCCTTCTCAGCCCTGGGTTATGTTTGAGCCAGAAACGCATTTACAGTCTAACTCCCTCTTCCATACGAATTATAAGTTGCTAAATGGGTTCTTCAACCGCACGATGCATCACCGGAGAGACTCAGACATCCTAATACTCAATGGGTTTATTGTGGGGCGTGGCCGGAACGCATCCTTCCTGCCTCCATCATGGCGTCAAGACCCTGTACTATTCCCAAACAAAATCAGGAGAAAACTGGCCGTGGCATTCGTTTCCAACTGTAAGGACAACAGTGGAAGGTTACGATATATCCAAGCATTGAAGAAATACGCTCCTGTTGATGTGTATGGCAGATGCGGCGACCTTAAGTGTGGAAGTTCTCGATATGCTGAGCATGCATACAAACCTGCAACGGATCCCTGCATGAGGATGGCTGGCGATAGTTACCTGTTTTATTTGGCGTTTGAAAACGCCTTGTGTTCGGACTATGTAACGGAGAAACTGTACAACCTTCTTTACTATCCACTAATTCCGGTGGTGCTCGGGGCGGCCAACTACAGCGCCCTGATGCCTCCTGGCTCCTACATCAACGCCCTCCACTACACACCCCAACAACTGGCTTACAAACTGAAGCACCTCGCCAATCACCCTCAGGTATGCATAAAGGCGTACTGGTAATGTGTGCCGCTCGTGGCTAAAATACAATATTGTGCCCCTTCTTTTTTCTCAAATACTCAAACCCGCACACCTCCTATACTATTAACGTTCTAACACCTAACCTTACATGGACCTGCTTCCTCTCCAGTTTATAAATAACAAATATTTTACAAAAGATTTACTACTGGTCACATTCGAATTTTTTCGAGCATGGGATCGCTCATATTCTCTGTTCAAGTCGAACCTCTCATTGCTTCACGCATGTTCTATAAATACTAATAACTGGCAAGAGAGCCTTCATATCTAACGTAACCTAATTATTCATTAAATTTAATATATAGTTATATTAATATACTTTTGAGAAAACAAAATTATTTGAAATTTCATTACCTAAAAATTGATAAATGCGTCTTTGGGGTCGGCTGCTGCCTACATGAAAATATATTGAAAATAGGTTGCCATCATACAGCCTCAGGCTATGTTCATTTCATTTAGCGGCTGACCCCAAAGATGTATTTATCAATTTCAATATACTGTTAAAGTGGGGTGAGGACGTGTCACCTGGACTCTCCGGTTGTTGACGTCAGTCGTTGCCTGGTGCTGGCTGTGTGAGGGTGGGCGCTGTTTGGCATGTCTGGCGACATGGGGACCCCCCTACCTCCTGTTAGCCGGACTGAAACTATTGGGCTTGAATTTTCTGGCCGAGCTTCGTACCCTGCACTTGAGATTGTGTTACTGGATACGCTACGAGATCGTGTTGCCGACGTATATGGGCTCCAGCTGTTAACAACCAACTGGGCCCTCGTGAAATTTCACTCCGCGGCAGTTTACCGGGACTTCGTGGCAAACTATAACGGGCAGACATTTACGCTCCCTGGAGATGGTGGTACTATCACTATTTCGGACCGCTGTTGCACTATGACGTATGTTGCTCTGCATAGTGTGTCTTTCGAGTTTTCGGAGGCCCTGCTACGAAGGTATTTTGGCCAGTTTGGAATGGGGGTTTCCCTCCGAATGAACTCCGTCTCTTCTGGCAGGTGGCGTGGAGTCTCGTGTGGGACCCGGACTTTTGGCCTGCGGCTCAAGTCTCCTGTTCCCTCCAGGGTTACCTTGATGGGCTACACGATACGGGCGTTCTACGCAGGGCAGCCACGACAATGTTTTTCGTTGTGGCCTTGAGGGACACCAGGCGGCCGCCTTGCACTGGGGTCGCAGTTGCACCTGTTAATTTATTCCGAGTAGAGGATTTTCCCCCGTTGGTGGCACAGGACCTGTCGCCTAGTGATGGTGTAGGTATGGAGGTTCCCCTGCCCCTGTTGATCTGGTGGTGTTACCTGGTTCCTCGGCTGGTGTGCCAGTGCGTCTGGAAGGTGGTGTGCGTGACGGGTGGTGGTGTGTGGGGCCCCGTTCCCGTGGTCGGCCTCTTCACTGCCACAGGATTCCTCGCCCCTCTGCGCTTCTTCTCCTCTGCAGGTACATGCTTCTCCGCATATTCCCACGCCTGTGCTGGTTCCTTCACTTCTGACGGCTGCGCTTGCTCTTTCTCCTGTTCCGGTTGCCTCTGTGGGTGGTAGCCTCCTCCCTCGTGTCAATGAAGCTGAAATACTACAGGGTCGTGCTCGGCCAACTATAGGGCCGCCTACTTCCAGCTCTTCTCGGGCGCCTCCTGTGGGGGTGGGGGGGGGGGGGTACAGCTCCAATGGTCAACGTCCGGTCTCGAAGCGTTCGCGCACGGATTGCAGTGTGTCGCCACCTCAAATCTAGGTTGAGGAATGTGAGGATGAGGAATGTGCTGTTGTTTCCTCTGCAAGCTCTGCTTCCGTGGATTGTGTGCCTGCATCAGCCCCTGCGCCGCCTACTGTTGGCTCCCCTCCGTGGCGGATGCCCCTGGAGATAGAGACCTCTTCGTGGTGTTGACGAAGGACGTGCGCCGGGAGGCCTCACGAAGGCTCTTAGCTGCCGCTTTGAGCTCAGGGGACAGTATGGTGCTCCTGTAGTTGCCTCGAATCTTTTCTCCTTCTGCAATAAGTTCTGATTGTAAGGTGTCTTTGGTGGTGACCTTCTTTTGTGTCTCGAGGTCGAATATGTCGTCCAACAGGATCTCCAACTCCACTTTCCGGGCCATCTCACTTGGTCTGGACAAAACGTGACAGTTTATACCCAGATTTAGGAGAGTGACTTGGTCCTCAGTGAGGTTGATTCCAGCAAGGTTCAGGAAGCCGTCTCTTGGTCGTGGAATCGCCATAGGTCCTCCATATAATGTTGTTAGTTTCTTGATTATCCTGGTTTCGGTGTTGAGGTGATGTCGAGGTGTAGCTCGATACGAGTACGGAGGTTTTCGTCGATGTTGCTGTTTCTCCATTAGTTTGTAGCATGAAGTAGTTGCGTTTTGTTGTCTTTGATTTCATTTTCTGCCTTGTGTATTTGATTTCGAATCAGATCTTGGCGATATTTTATCGTGAAGGCTTGCTGCTGGGACGTGCGTTTTAATATTAGTATATTTTGGTAGCAGTCTTTCTTGTAAACATATATTATAAAATATGACCGAAAAAGTAAGATTAATAATTCTAACACGAATTTTCTCAATATTTCTTATGTTTCTTTTCACTGTCGATGGTAATTGAAGAATCAATTCTCCAAAATTCATTTTTATTTCTAGTCTGACGTGACACTTGAACTTCGTTTCATAATAACTTATTAAATTTTCAAAGACTTTAGTTTACACACACACAACTATAACCTGCAAACACTAAACAGAGTTCTACAATGCTATCATTGATTGGTTGATAAAGATTAAGTCACCCAAGAGGTGGCACGGGCATGAATAGCCCGTAAGTGGTACAATTTTTTTTGAGTAATTCTTTTCAGTATTCTGAGGTTGCAGTTAATAGTCAAGCTGTTATCGCAGGGTAGGATACTGCTTCACAGTCTTTATGAGGGTGTAAACCTGCTGGACACCTTTGTTGACCAGGAGAGTGGCTGTGTTGATGGCTTCAGGGTGGCCACTGCAAGATTCAGGAACTCTTAAAGCTCTTCTAAGGTCGTTGGCTGCTTCACATTCCAGAAGATAGTGAAGTAATGGCTTTTCTGAGACAGTTTGGCAGAAGATGCACTCTCTCTGTCGGGGTTCACCAATCTCCCAGTTGCATCTGTAACCTAGACGTAGTCTATATAACCTAACTGCTAATTCCCTATGGATTCCTTTTGGGATATTTAACCATTCTAATTTGGTTGCCTGATGCTATCGTTTAAACAGCTTTCATCTTATATACCCGCATTTGGGTGAGGTGATATGTTACAACAGTTTTGGATGAGTGGATGAGATGAAAAAAACTTTCAACACAAGAAAGACAAACTGTCAACACAAGACAGAACACGGTGCATTGGGTATAAATTGGGTAAATTAAAGGGAAGAATGAAAGTAACTGCAAAGGGCTTATTGGCCCATATATATTGAAGCTTCTATATTGGTGCGGAGTCTTGAAGTAGGTAGAATACTGTTGTACATTAATTGGCTGTTGATTGCTGGTGTTGACTTCTTGACGTGTAGTGCCTCGCACACGTCAAGCCGCCTGCTATCACTGTATCTATCGATGATTTCTGTGTTATTTGTTAAGACTTCTATGGTGATGGTCTGGTTTTGGAAAGAGATTATATGTTCCTTAATGGAGCCCTTTTGCTTATGCATCTTTAATCGCCTGGAAAGAGATGTTGTTGTCTTGCCTATATACTGAGTTCCTTGAGGCTTACAGTCCCCAAGTGGGCATTTGAAGGCATAGACGACGTTGGTCTCTTTTAAAGCGTTCTGCAATGTGTCTGGAGAGTTTCTCATGAGTGGATAGGCCGTTTTTTTGGTTTTATAGTAAATCGTCAATTGTATCTTCTGATTTTTGTCTGTAAGGATAACGTTCCTATTAACAATATCTTTCAGGACCCTTTCTTCCGTTTTATTAGCTGTGGAAAAGAAGTTCCTGTAAAATAGTTTAAAAGGGGGTACAGGTGTTGTGTTAGTTGTCTCCTCAAAGGTTGCATGGCTTTTCACCTTCCTTCTTTTGATGTCTTCATCGAAACCATTAGAGAAGTCGTTGTTGACTAGGACCTGCCTTACCATACAGAGTTCTTCATCGACTTGCTTCCATCCTAAGCTGTTGATGAGAGCACGGTCGACATAAGCGTTAACAACACTCCAATTGTACCTGTCTGGGCAGTCACTGTTGGCATTGAGGCACATTCCTATGTTTGTTTCCTTAGTGTAGACTGCAGTGTGGAAACCTCTGCTCCTTTCCTTGACTGTTACATCTAGAAAGGGCAGCTTCCCATCCTTCTCCATCTCGTACGTGAAACGCAACACAGAATTCCGCTCACATGCCTCTTTCAGCTCCTGCAGATGTCTGACATCAGGTACCTGTGTAAAAATGTTGTCAACATACCTGCAGTATATGGCTGGTTTCAAGTTCATGTCGACTAAGACCTTCTGTTCGATGGTACCCATGTAGAAGTTCGCAAACAGGACACCTAGGGGAGAACCCATGGCGACCCCATGTACTTGCTTATACATGTGCCCATCCGGGCTCGAGAAGGGTGCCTCTTTAGTACAAGATTGGAGTAGTTTCCTTAAAATGTTTTCTGGTATGTCAAGAGGAGTATATGCCGGATCACGATATACTCTGTGCGCAATCATCCCGATTGTTTCATCCACAGGTACGTTGGTAAACAGTGATTCTACATCCAACGAGACTCTTATCCCTGCGGCCCGTGTTCCCCGCAGTAAGTCAACAAATTCCTTTGGAGACTTCAAGCTGAAGGCGCAAGGGACATAAGGGGTCAGCAAGCCTTTCAGTCGCCTTCTCAGTCTGTACGTGGGTGTGGGTATCTGGCTGATGATTGGCCAAAGTGGGTTTCCAGGCTTGTGTGTCTTAACATTTCCATACGCATACCCAGGTTGGTATTCCCCAATAATCTTTGACAGGTGGAGTCCGAATTTCTTGGCGTTCACAGTTTCAATCAATCTGTTAATCTTT